GTGATATTTTCTGAGAGCTTTTACTGTAGCAGAAAAAGTTAGATGTGACATTTTCTAAGAACTTTTTACTGTAAAAACTTAAAACTGAAAACTCGAATCGGTTAAATAAACTAGGCATAAATTAAGCCGTTAACTTAATTCAAATGGTAAATATAATTTAAACTGCATGTTTATTAAATGTGAGTTTAAATTGTATTCACTGTTTAAATTGAATTAAATTTAACTAAAATTAATAAAATAAACATGGGCTAACCAACTTGTATAGAAAATGATTCTTGGGTATACAATTGGATGAATCAGATTGTACATCTCCCAAGTCCCATCTCAAAAACTGAACTTCGTGTGATTTTTTTTTTTTTTTGAAAAAAAAAAGTGAAAAAAGAAAAGTACAGTGTTTGTACTTTGTACTTCAAACTAGAAAAGTAGAAATCATTGAGAAAGATACACCTCTGGTACCACGTATAGACACTCTGTGTAGTACGGGGCCAGAACCTCCCATTGATTCATTCACTTTTAAAATTCAACTATCAACAAGGAAACTAGTTTAGCTATTCCTAGCTCTCAATAATTAAACTAAAATAGCTAATTTCTAATTTGAACTTCATATCGGTATGCGTTTAGGCACTAGCTTCTAGCTAGCTAGTAATGCCGCGTGTTTTGTATGGAGGGACGACCATTCATAGATACACGTTTGGCCTTCTAAAATTTTCTTTTGTGGAGACAACTAAAAATTTTTAAGTTTGGCATATCATTTTTTTTTTTTTTTGTTAATTAACGTTGCCACATCAATCATAATATTACATTAAAATATTTTTAGGATATTATTTTAAGGTTAATACTGCATTTACACATGGAAATATTATATTTTTTATATTTAGTAAAATTGTGGATGAATTTTGACTTTCCAACATTACCAGTTTCATTTCAAACATTCAAAAGAAATAATTAATTTGGTACTACCACGGTATTAAAAACTTCAAAACCAGTTCAAAAAAAGAAAAAAAAAAAAAAATTTCACAACCAACTTCAAGACACAGCGTCAATAAAAGAAAATGTGGACTTCTTAGCTGGACATTCCCAATATGCCAATGGAAGCGTGGCCCACACATAGATCAAATAATTGTACAATCAATAAAACAAAGATTGTGAATATGATGGTTAAGAAAAATATTGTTAGCGGTATCCTACTACCTAATTTTTAAGTTAACACTAACTATAGAGAGTGTGTCTTACTATATCATTTACATCACCATTGATCATGTTAATTAATTTTCCAAAATTATATAGCAATAGAAACACGAAAATTGAATGGTTGCAGGTATAGTCTGACTACTAATTCTACATTTAACTCCACTTTAAAATTTAGAGTTTAAATCCCCGTTCTTAAAAATAAAAAAAAAAAAAAAAAAAAAAAAAAAAAAAAAAAAAGGGAAAAAAAGAATAGCTAGATAGTGAAATTGGGGTGCTCTTCAGAATATGACAAACTATCCAAATTCTAAGCGAATGTCATTTAATAACACAAGAAGAATGTGGTGCAGCCCTCTCAAGTTCAATGCACAATGTGACATATTCTAACCAAATGTGTACCACGTGTTCTAAAACTATAAGCTTATAACAGACATGTTTGTCAAATTAAACTGACCAAATATGTTGCTTTCTTCTTTCAAAATATATGTATTGCATTCTAGAGATTGATTTTTGAGAGAGCGGGGAGAAAAAAAAAAAAAAAAAGACCATATCGATGGTTATATCATTCTATATATAAGAAGAGGGGATGCCTCTTTCTAACTTTGGTACTTCAACTCTTTGTTTGCTTGTTTTCACTTTTTTATATATATATTTATTTATTTTACTTGCTTGTTTTAAACCTTTTTTAAAATTTTATTTCTCAGTTTTTTTTCTTTTTTCATTTTCTTTAATTGTATTTTAAATTTTTGTTCTTTTTTCTTCTTATTTTTTAAGGTTTTTTTTTTTTTTTTTTTTTTTGCTTTCAAACTTTTCTTTTTTACTTTTTTTTTATCTATATCTTGAGGTATGGAATTTTGTACTTCAACTATTTGGTTGCTAGCTTTTTTTTTAATTTCTATTTATTCTCTTTTTCTAATTATTTTTGTTCTTTTTTGGACTATTTATTGGTTTTTTCTCTTTCTCTTTTTCTTTTTTTCAATTTTATTTTCATGTTGCTTATAAAATTCTTTTTCCTAAAATTTTCCCTTTAAAGAGTGTTTTATTTTGTTTTTGTTCTTTTTTAAATATTGTATTTATATTGTTTCTCATTATATATTATTTTTTGTTCTTCAACTTCTTAGCTGCATGCTTATATATAAATTGTTCAACCTTTTGCTTGGAAGTTTTTACTTTAGTACTTGTTATTTTTATTGTTTCTCATTAAAATATATTTATAATTAGTTCAATTCAAATTATAAGTTGAATTATTTGCATACTTATTTATATATTCTAATAGAGAAATAATTTCTTAAATGAAATATAATTATTTTCTAAAAAAAATTTTAAAAATGAAAGCTATAAATTGTAAAAGTACAAAAAAAAAAAAAAAGTTACAAAGGGAACGTGCCTTAAGCACATCTCCCATGCTATTTGGCCGTCACTTGAAGGCTGGAGCAAATAAAATAATATGAATTGACAGAAAAAATCCAAAAAGAAAAATAAAATGCCCTTCATAAGATCGACAACCTGACTTTAGAGTCTAATAGATTAACCAATAGCAGTAAATGGTTAATTACTTGGTGCTAAATTTGCCTCAAACATAGCATTTTGTCAAAATTGTCAAAAATAATACTATTTTAGAGAATGATCTTTCCACTCAAATGTTAAAACTTAACCTTACATTGCAAATGCTCCTATATTTTGTGTTTCTATACATAATGTTATTTTAAAGGTTTTAGTGCAATTGTTAAGATTTAGAACTTGTAAAAGTAAATTTTTACTTTTAAAATAATTTAAAAATAGTCATACCATATTGATTAAATGGCTCAAAACATCAACCAACTACTAATTTTATTCAGCAAAAAAAAAAAAGCAACCAAATGCTGAAATTAGAGGTCTAAAAAATGTTAAAATTAAACATATGTATAACATAATTACATATTCTAAATTTATCATAACATGTATTATAAAGTGATTGTACCTTTTTAATGTCAGAATTTGATATTGGCACATTAATTTAACAATGCATTAGAGATATTATCTCTAATACGATGCAAAGCAAATATATTGCTATTAGTTGTTTTTGAACAACTAAATTAATTTGACAAATAATTAATGACGTGTAATTTTTGACGGCTCTTATACATCTATAGAACAAACCGCAAATACTGGAGTAAAATTTAAGGTAAATGATACTTATCTTACCTAGTTCTTGAAAAACAATATGTGAAAAGAAAGATTATTTTTTCGATACCCCTTAACTTTATGAATTTAGTAAATTGGTCTCTCAATTTTTAATCTTAGCAATTTACCTTTTAAACTTTAAAAATTCGTTCTAATGTTGGTCAAAGAGAATTATTGTTCAAACCTTTTTACCACAGTATTTGGTAAGGATAATTCTGATCTTTTTACATCGTATTGATCCCTGTACAGATATCATGAGCAGAATTTTATTTTTTTTTCAAATTGAGGATTAACCATTTTAGGAGAAAAATTAAGAGTTCTCCAATTTCAAAAAAAAAATCACTTATGATATGTATGTATGGACCAATTTGATAATAAAAGACTAGAATTAGCCTCATTAAACGTTCACATGTAAGAAATCGTCTAAATTTTTAACTTCATTTTTAATTTGACTAACATTGTAATGAATTTTAAAGTTTAAAAAGTGAATTGCTAGGATTAAAAACCAAGAATAAATATTTTAAGAGGAAGATACATTTCAGAATTCCACAAAAATAAATGAAAATTTTTAAAAAGCATTTTCGTATGGATATCTTTTTAACTTTACGAGCTTGATAAATTGGCCTCTCAACTTTTAATCTTGACAATTAATCCCTAAATTTTAAAATTCATTGAAATGTTGGTCAATTTAAAAAGATAGTAAAAAATACAGCTTTTTCCAAATGAACATTTAATGAGACTAATTTGATTTTTTGCATCGAATTGACCCCTATAAAAAATATTTTGAAATTGGAGAACTCTTAACTTTTTCCCTCAAAATGGTTAATCCCTAACTTCAAAAAAAAAAAAAAATCGCTCATAATGTTCACGTAACCTCATTAAACATTCACGTAAAAAAAATTGTCTAAATCATGATTTATAATTTTTTATAGTATTTTTTTCATAAAAAATATACGTAAAACGAGAATAATTCTGAATACATAAACCAAACGTCCTATAATTTACCAAACGCGTGAAATTAAAGAGGTTTTCGTTTAAAAAAAAAGTAGACCTGATCAGATTCACTGTTAACTGACACTGACAAGATCCCAAAAAATCGGTTAGCCACCTGCCTGGCTGCACCTACCGTAGTAACTTAACAAACTCCTGGTTCTCCCACATTGAAATATCAGTGCCTATTATTTTCAGAAAAAAAAAAATGAATCGCACATAAAATCCCATAATTGACATATGTTTTTTTCTTCAACATTATCAGTAGGCAAATCAGAAAACCAAAACTGCGTTTTTACTTCCTTTTTATCTGTTTATAACTTCTAGTACGCGAATTTGGCCACATTTAGACCATTTCTAATGATTTGCACCCGTGACCCACCTTCACCATTTTTTTTTTTCTATAATTAGCGACTTTCTTTCCAAGAGCTGGACTGGACTGATTAGATTAATTACTCCTGGATCCAAGTTAGACGACCCAAAAACGTCTATACTTGGGGAGTATATATATATATATATATATATATATGTTCATATATACATATATAACATAAGAAAGTAACGAAATTTTTTTTGGTAGAAAAAAAGTAGTGAAGTTGCTTGATTGAGAATTCTAACTTTGAGAGTTAAGATTAAGCATATAATATAATACATAAATATATTCAAAATTCTCTCTTTTTGTACCAAATTCCATGTATTATATACACAACTCAGAAAGCGAGCCATACCCAAAAAAAAAAAAAAAAAAAAAAAGAACCCCGTTTCTAACTACCAACCTCAAACGAACTGTACTCACTGTAGAAATCGGCAACTCCAGACGCGGCCCAGAGCCGTTGATTGAACTCGTCCTTCATCTCATCAGGGACAAATGGCGTTCTACAAAGCGGACACGTTTTCTGATCGTGATCCATCCAACGGTCCAAACAAGCCCGGTGGAAAATGTGTCTGCAGTTCGTCAACCACCTGATCTCCTCCTCGCCGTCGAACTCATAAAGGCAAACCGCGCAGCTCTCCGGCGAGTTTCCGGCACCGGCGACGGAGTCAAGATCGCTGAACTTGATCACCGGAAGGAGTTCGCGGATCAGGAGAGCCGACACCGGCGGATTCTCCGGCGATTGCGCCGGCGGCGACGACGATTGGGGCCATACGACGTCGGTTTCGAGGAAATCGGAGAGGCCTAGGAAGTGGAAGAGAGAGAAAATGAGGTTCCGGATGAAGCCGAGGAGAGAGAGAGTGTGAAGGAAGAGGTTTGGGAAGAAGACCTCTGTGTATCCGACTGGGAATCCCATGGGATGAAATTTTCGGTTTCTAGAGAGAGAAACAGAAGAAGAAGAGAGAGAGAGAGAGAGAGAGAGAGAGAGAGAGAGAGAGGGAGAGAGAGAGAGTCGTTTGTGTTTCGAGAAAGAAGAGGGGAAAAAGCTTATATAGAGGAGAGGAAAATGGGAATCTCGGGAGAGAGAAAGAAGAAGCTTACGGAGGTGGGAGGTTCTGTTTCAAATATGGAGGCCCGAAAGATAAATAAATCAAAAAATAGGCACTCAAAATAAAATACACAAATACGGTGATAAAGACGCTTACTGTGAGCTATAGTCTTATGACCGTCCATTAGGAGGAGAAATTTGCGGGTGGGTCACAGTGAAACCTGCAATTAATTTGATTTTTATTGGCCGAGGTAGGGGTCACCATGGGCGTTTTGGGAAATTAATGTTTTGGGGAAAGGCTGCGCACCCTTTTTTTTTTTTTTTTTTTTTTTGGGTAAAAAACAGAGTGTGGGTTACTCTATAAGTGCGTGTATGATTAGCAAATAGCCACCCAATACACACTCACACAATACAAGCTACAAAAACAAAACTACACACGTGTCACGTGCTCTAATGGGAAGGGGCTTAGAAGTGGGTGCCTAATCATCATCTACTCATTTTTTTATAGATCTACTTTGTTAATTAATCTACAAACATTCTATATCCAATCTCGTTCATTTCATAATTAAAATCATATTGTTAGAGTATTTTTTTATATAATTTTAATTTTAATTTTTTTATTAGAGTGATTTTTTCTTATATACATAATTTAAGTCATTATTAGAGTTGTATAAACAAATACACAATTAATTCTTAATTGTATAATTTTTGTTATAAATTTATGATGACGGTTGAAAATAAGAAATTATTAACAAGGAAAAACTTTTCTTCTACTTATACTTAACTTTGTTATCTATGCGTCTTGTCCACTACTTCCTTTGGAGGCACTACCTAGCTTTAGTTTTTTTAGGTTTTAAACTTTTAATTGAATTAATAGTTCTTTTGTCTTCAGTGAAATATTTTTATGGTTCTTATGTAGTGTTGACAGTGGAATTTCGTCAACAAGATTACGCCGGATTACCACTTGGTGGCCCATTGAGTTACCGGTCGAAACTAGTTATATTCTCAGATTTATGCTGTTTGTTTTCAAGGCATATTAAAAATGTATCGATTCATCGTTAAAACGAAAGAAAAAGGACACACAGGTTTATAATGGTTCACTCTATCACAACAGAGTTACATCCACTAGTTCTTGTATTTTTCCTTTTGTGTTTTGAAGATTACAAAAAGCCCTCCCTTTCTCTTTGGGGCTTTGCCCATTTTATACCATACAGATTACATATGGGTACGTTTGGGGCGGACCGCCACAGGGAGTCTTCTGATGGTTTCTCTCAAGTAGCCTATTATCCTACCTGCCTAGACCAAAGCCTCTCAGCACCTTTTGGACTGTTCACTCACCCACTCCGTCCACTATTGTAGCTCTGCGGATCCTTTGTGATTTCCGTCGGTCCATTCTAGGCGGTTTATGGGCAGGTAATCATTTCCTATGCTACTGACCTTTTCCAAACCCAGAAGTAACCTAGGGATTTCCCCTTGTCACCTAAGAGGTCTTTCTTGGGACATGGACCCATACTCATGCGTTCTGCCCTCTGCGCCTATGCTATACTTCACGAGGTATGGCCTCCGTCTCGGTCGACCCCCTCACAGTACCGCTTCTGCTGCGAACAAATCATGCAGGTTTCGTCTGTATGTAGGGTCAATGGTTCCATGAATCATCCTATACGATCATGCTTTTCACCAGATGGCGTAGGGAGAAATGAGCTTTAGGCACTGACAACTACATGACATGGTGGGTTTTAGGCCACGTGGAGCATGGTCGTCATCCGACGTGTCAACACATATTTTTTCACATAACAGCTGCCCCCCAGGTCGAGGCTTTTCTTCGGACTACCTCGAGCTAGGCTGGGTTTTGCTCTGGCCTTTCTGTTTGCTTCGGGTGTGGGAGCCTAACTCTGAACCTCCCTTGTAATGATGGTCCTGGCGCTTCAGAGCTCTTTGAGAAGTGTAACCGTCGCGTCGGTTCGATCGCTATGCTGATGTGGGCTTTTATTTAAACGGACAAATCTGGGCCGTTGGATCGTGTCTCTTCGGCTTTCCGCCTTCTCCCTAACTATCGGATTGAGTCCTTTCATTTTCGGCGTTGTATGCATACTCACTTCATCAGATGGTTGGGAGTCGAAGGCTTTTCGTTACTATAAATAATATCTTCATGCTTGTTCAAATCATCTTAGGACCAAGCCGAAACTTTGTCAAAAATTTTCCAGGACCGTTCTTCATACTCTCCTCTTGCAAACTCACGAATCTCTGACGAAGTTCACTTCCAAGTTCTTGCGCCCCTCTCGCTCCTGATTTACTGGTAAGCATTCATCCTCCCTCCTTCCTATTTTGATGTATGTGTGTTTACTCTTTTGCCTGGGCTCGCGATGGATTTCTTGAGAGGGGGATGGTTAAAAATGGCGTAATAGGGGTGCTAGAACCTGGTTCTGGTATTTTCGTAATGTTCTGAATTGGTTACGGGAGTTTTAAGTGGGTCTGGATTCTTGTTTAGCTTTATGGGTTCATTTGAATGATCGACGCTTTGTTTCAATAGACGTCGTCTAGATCATGTTTAGGTTAGAATCATCGTCGCCTATTTGAACAGTCTTCGTTTAGCCTTAACTTTACTCGACTAAGCTTTTTAAACAACTTTAGACGCCAAACTAATTTCCTCTCCCCTATCGACTTATAGGATATTGACCTTAGATTTTTCCTCCACAGTAATAACACCTAAAAGGATTAACCGTCGAGGGGGATCATCATCCATGCCTTTTGTGAGGCCGGATCCTTCTCTAGCCACTGAGTCTTCCTCCCTCTTTACTAACAGCAATCCGATTTTGAGGGAGGTTGAGGACTACATCCCTGATCCTCAGGACGACGAAGACAGTGTCGACCGCCAGCCAGACGAGGATAAGCCTTCTACGTCTAGCGCCTCCGCTTCCTTAGTCGGTGGTGTTGTCTCTGGCTACAGCGGACGACACTTCCGTATCCCCGTGGCATCAGTAGGGGCGGATGAGGAGCGGCTGTCTTGCGCCGCTGACTTTACAAAGCTAAAGACACGTCAAAGGGACATCATCCGTGCGTACATGGAGGGATCCGTGGACGGTCGATGGTTCGAGTACCTATTCCTAGACCCCAACTTGAGGGCAAGCTTACTGGCCCTGGGATATCTATTCGTCTATACCTGGGCCTTCACGGCGGGGATGACACTTTCCATCCACCCGTTCGTGAAGGGCCTCTGTGAGCTCCACGACATCTCCCCCACACAGTTGGCTCTGAATTTTTGGTATAGCTTCACCGGTATGTGGATTCTTTGGGACCATAGGTTCGACATGGAGCTCCCTTTAGACAAATTTCTTTTTTTATATAAACTTTGCCAGGTCCCTAAATGCGATGGTTGGTATATTTTGGGTAGTCACGGGTGATCCAAGCCTGTTTTAGGAAAATTAATAAAGGGGTTGCCCTCGTCGTCTCATGCCTTGAAGCCAATGTTTTTCATGGTCAAGGGTATGTTCGACGTCCACCCCGCTGATAAGCCTTTTAAGTGACTTGGGGTGCAGACATATTTTAGAACGTTGAGTAAGTACCCTCGACTACATGTTAAAGCTAAATTTATATTTTTACACTGCTGACCTCCTGTCTTACTATACGGTTCCTTAAGACCGCCACTAACTTTTTGGGAACCGGCTAGCAAGGGTGACGGAAGCCTTCAGCCTCCTAGAAAGTGTGCGTCATATCGACGTTCTTTCGACGCGATAGAATCTAAGAAGCTCCGGCCTTCTGCTTTCACTTCCTGACCCTGCAGACACCGACGCCGTCAATGACTTCTTCCATTTTACCGCCAGAGGTTAATGTCTTTCCCTTGCACTCGATCATTACCATCAGTCGTCTGTTTAATTACTTGGCTTTGACTGATGTAGAGATAAAGACCTTGCAGCTACACGTTCTAAGTGACAAGGGGCGCTCGAGGAAGTAGAGGCCTAGCGAGAGGTCGAGCGCAGCTGCCGAGGCTAGTGCCTTATCGAGGCCTTAACCTACAGCGGAACTTGTGCCAACTCTGAAGGCACCGAGGCCAGTGCCTCATCGAGGCCTCAACCTACGGCAGAGCTTGTGCCAACTTAGGAGGCACTGAGGCTAGTGCCTCATCGAGGCCTCAACCTACGGTGGAGCTTGTGCCAACTCAGGAGGCGCCGAGGCCCAAAAGGCCTCACCCTGCTGAAGCGCCAGCGGTGGAGGCTGAGCCAGCGCAGATTATTGATATAATCGACGCTCCTGAGGCTCCTCCGCCTAGGGAACGCCTGCTGCTTCCAAGGACAAGGGTTCTGGATCCTCAGTACATCGTCCCTGATCTCCCCCTGGCCCAGATAAACGCCGTACTGAATCTGCCGCCATGTTTTTCCCTCGTCTTCCAGGATCTGTACGAATCATTTTTTAAGCAGGACTAGGAAGACGCTACTCGGTCCTCTCTGGTCGACCGCACCCGTCAGCAGATATCTCACCAGATTCACGTAAGCTATGTCGTTCATTTCTACGAGTTTCTTTAGGTTCTCCTTATTGACATTTATTTTGATTTGACAGTCCCTTGTCCTCTCCCTCCTTAACTTCATCAAAATGGTTAAGGTTGAAGACATGAGTAAATAGATGGATCGCGTAGAAGGGAGCCTGAAGGTTCTCCTTAAAACGGAGAAGGCCAGCAAGGGTGAGCTCTCAAAGAAGCTTGCCCTCATCATAAAGGAGCTGGACGCGGCGAAGGCTGAGTTGGATGAGGCCAAGATGGAAGCAGAAGAAGCTCGTAAGTAAGCCGCTCATTCCAAAGAGACCTTCCTTCGTCAAGGTTGGCATGAGGGATATGAGCTAGGTAAGCAGCAAGGCTACGACCTGGGTAAGAAGGAAGGAGTCGAGAGATTCTTGGCCTCTGTTGAATTTGTTCAGTGAAATGCAGAGGTCGCTGCCAAGGCCGTCGAGAACTTTAAATCCTCTGATGAGCTGCACGATATGTGTGCCAGTGACATGCTGTTTGTTGGCGAGCAACTTATTGCTAGGATCAACATGCACATTCCTAGTCTAAATTTGAACTTCCTTTACGAGCCTCCCTCTGATGATGGGGATTCTCCTGCTGGTGGTAAAGGTGGTGAGGCAGTGGTGGCACTGAGGGAGTTGATGGCGGTGAAGACGGCGGGGGCAACGAGGCCTAGGACGCCCAACGTTGATATTTATTTTTCATTTCTGTAATATATATATATATATATATATATATTCTTTTTAAAACACAAAGACAATGGGCTTTTATCCCGTTAATATGTATATTATCTTTAATGTAGCCTTGTTTTATTCTGCTGATTTGTTTTATTATATTTTTTTATACGGTCGGTCAAAGGCTCTTTGGCGGATAATCTGTCAAGTATGATAGCCTCTCCTCGTTGGAGAGGTCGGCTTTGATGCCCTTTAGGGCTTTTAGCAGATTTGAGAATCTGCTAAGTATAGAAGCTTCTCCTCCTTGGAGGAGTAAGCTTTCTGGATGCCCCTTGGGAATCTGCTAAGTGTAGAAGCTTCTCCTCTTTAGAGGAGTCTGTTTTCTGGATGCCCCTTGGGGCTTTTAGCAGATTTGAGAATCTGCTAAGTATAGAAGCTTCTCATCCTTAGAGGAGTCAGCTTTCTGGATGCCCTTTGGGGCTTTTAGCAGATTTGAGATTCTGCTAAGTATAGAAGCTTATCCTCCTTGGAGGATTCAGCAATATGGATGCCTCTTGGGGGTTTTAGAAGATTTGAGAATTTGCTAAATATGGAAGCTTCTCCTCCTTGGAAGAGTTAGCTTTCAGGATGCCCCTTGGGACTTTTAGCAGATTTGAGAATCTACTAAATGTAGAAGCTTCTCCTCTTTAGAGAAGTATGCTTTCTGGATGCCCCTTAGGGCTTTAAATCTGCTATGTATAGAAGCTTCTCCTCCTTAGAGGAGTCAGCTTTCTGGATGCCCTTGTGGGCTTTTAGCAGATTTGAGAATCTACTAAGTATAGAAGCTTCTCCTCCTTAGAGGAGTCAGCTTCTTAGGTGCCTTTTGGGGCTTTTAGCAGGTTTGAGCGTAGACCCTCTCCTGCCCCTTCATGTGTGGTTAAGAACCTTGGTTCTTGAGCAGAAATTACTTTAAGGGTTTGCCTCTTTGAGGTATCAGGAGATAGGATTTGAATGTTCCGGAGGAATGAGCTTTTATTTATTTCACAAAATGTAGATACAACATAGCCAAATAATACATGTCATTGATAATACAGCTTTAATTGTTCGGCATTCCAAGGGTGTTGAATCCTCTTGCCAGCAAGGTTTTCTATGGCATAAGTATCAGGGCATAGTATTTCTCTTACACGATAGGGTCCCTCCTAAGTCGAGCCTAGGGGACTAGTATTTTTAGGCTTAGTACTTAATGTGACCCCTTTTAAGACAAAGTCCCCTGGGGAAAACCGTCTCCGCCTGACCTTTTTGTTGTAATAGCGCGCTGTTCTTTGTTAGTAAGGGACGAGTCGTAGTTGAGAGTCGAGCCTTTTTTCTTCCAATAGATCGAGCTCTCCATTCATTGCTTCGACATTTGCATCATCCTCGTACGTGACCGTTCTTAGTGTCGGCGTCTCTATTTCCACGGGGAGCACTGCCTCGACTCCATATGTCATAAAGAATGGCATTTCGCCTGTTGTAGTTCGATTTGTCATCCTATATGCCCATAAGACCTTCGAGTGTTCTTCAGCCCATTTTCCCTTTAAGTCATCAAGTGTTTCAGGGTATACTTCAGGATTTTGTTGATGGCTTCAATTTAATCGTTGGACTGCAGATGTATCGGTGCTAAGAAATCTTTTTGAATGCCTAAATCGTCATAAAATTTATGCGTCGGGGCATTGCCAAACTGTTTACCGTTGTCAGATACGATTGAATGTGGAACCCCAAATTTGCACACGATGTTGTTCCAAATGAAGCTTGTGCAAATAGCCTCTGTGGTCGAAGTAAAGGCTTTCGCCTCGGCCCACTTAGTGTAATAGTCCACAGCGACGATGGCAAACTTAAAACCTCCCAGTGCGAGGTGCAGAGGTCCGATCAGGTCGACCCCCCATTTGGCAAAAGGACATGGGCTAATAATGAAAGTTAGGTTTTCTGGGGGCGCTCTAGGAATCGTGGCATATCGTTAGCACTTATCGCAATGCCGAACGTATTGATACACATCTTTTTTAAGCACATGCCAATAGTACTCCTGCCTCAAAACCTTTAGAGCTAAAGATTACCCCCTAGTATGATTACCACACACTCCTTCATGGATCTCCCGGAGGACCTCTCGCGCCTCATTGTCATCCAGGCACCGTTGTAAGGGTGTTGAGAAGCCTCGTATGTACAGTAAGTCATCATATTGTAAGTACCTGCCATCCCTATATTTGACCCTCTGGGCCTCATCCTTGTCGTTGGGTAGCTTCGCATCCATCAAGTATTGGACAAATGGTGTCATTCAGTTTTCGGTCGCCTGGGTCGTCAAAACATATGCTTTCTCATCAATTGATGGTCGTTCTAGCTCTTCCATGGGGACGACCCCTAGCTTATCCGAATCCTTTGAGGACGCCAGCTTGGCTAAGGCATCGGCATTTGTATTTTTGGCTCTTGGTACCTGTATTATCTTATAGTTTTTGAAATTAATGAGCTCTTCCTTTACCTTTTTCAAGTATGCCCCCATCCTTTCGCCGCGTGCCTAATACTCTTCCTTTACTTGTTCGACCACTAGTTAAGAGTCACTAAAAATGCCAAGGCTTTCAATCTTCAAGTGACTTGCCAACCGCAATCCTGCAATCATCGCCTCATATTCCGCTTCATTGTTCGACGCCTTGAATTTGAACCGTACCGCTTAAGTGATTTTGTGGCCCTCTGGACTTATCAGCATGACGCCCGCTCCTGATCCAGTTTCATTTGATGCTCCATCTTCATAAAACTAAATATTGAATTAAAAAGGCATATTTTTCATTTTTATATTTTTTCTACCTCCTTCTTTTATTTCCTTTTTACACATTTTACACTGAAAACAGGCAAGAATAAGTTTTACATATCATGAGAACAAAATAGAATGAAATATGGGTTTAATAATAAGATTCTACTGGTGCTTTTAAGGGGAATGAAATAATTAGCAGATTTACAGTAGATAATTAAAGTAAATAGAATATTTTAAAACTATTTAAAGTAAATAGTAGTAAAGTTTATGTGGTAAAATTTTTTTCACGTAAATCTAGTCTTAAAATGAAAATTTACCAGGTAAAAAGTTTTTTACCGCATAAATCAAGTCATAAATAAAAAATTTACAAGGTAAAAATTTTTACTACTAATTATTTCAAATGTTCTAAAATATGTTATTCACTTAAATAGTTTGAAAAATATGCTATTTATTATAATTTTTAGAGATTTTATTTGTATTTGGGAATTGCTTCCTAGGCCTACTAAAGGCTTAACTAAGATGTCAATATAATGAAAACTGAAATTATATGGCTACATGTAACATGTAGAAATTGAAGTCAAACATGGAATATTATATTATTTTATACCCATTTTATTTATGATATCTATGATAAATGAACAATATTTTGTTACATATTTTTAAACTTATTGTTATTTATAAATATTGTCTTATTTCACCTCAATTTTTACATGGTACAAATATAAAACAAGGAGGATTGTAATCTTTACCAAAAACATATTCTACAAATTGTTATGATGATTATTGCCATCAGAGCTTTTCTTTTTCCTTTTAATTTGGATTGCATATATATTATGTGTAATGTAACCTTTTATTGTAGTCTAGATATAAGTTGAAAAGCTCAATTTAAAGAACTATCATTTCTAAATATTTTGAGCTAGGCTCTAGCAAATCACAACTGGACAGACCCGTGGCACAGCAAAAAAGCATGAAGCCCCACTAATCATTTCGTGAGGAAACCAAGGAAAACCTCCCACAATACACACACACTTATATAGACGTACGCATATATATATATATATACATATATATACACGCGCGCGCACACTAGCATATTTTGCTAGAAATGATTGCTAATTAGGGCTTGATACTAGTTGGGGGGAAGTTTTCTATCTAATTAATTGCTAATCACCCCCAATTAACTTTTTAGTTTGACGTATAACTATTCTAATTAAATCTTAAGTTTGAGCTTTATGACCCAATGTCAGAAACTGTGAGTGACTGGACGATATTGACAGTGTTTCTATGCATTAAATTAAGTTATCTGCAGATTTAGACCCTTTTTTAAATTATATGATGGCCCAAAGTATCCGAGATATATTTTGTCTTGTCTCTATTGGCCAAAAAATTGATTTGAAAATTAAAGTAATAATTTGCTCAGAAAAAAAGGATTAAAGATGCATGCATTAGTGATTTTTTTAAAGGAATTAATGATTATTTTACTCGTGAATTTGTCAATAAATTGAAGATCTCTTTAGTCGCATCAAGTGATATATATATACAAGAATTATCTCCGGATAAAATTAAAGGGACACTTATATATTTTTTTATTAAAAATATATATATATATATTTTTTTAAAATATATATATTTTTACTTAAAATATGTAAATTTCTTTTTATGGTAATATATACAATATGTACATATTTTAAAAAGAAGTATATACGTTTTTTTATAAAAAAAAATACAAATACCGTTCAAATCTTAGAGACTTGGCGTGTGTATATATATATATATATATATATATATAAAATATAGGGTGACAAAGCGAAAAAAAGAAAAAAAAAGAATGAAAGTGATAGGGATGAGAAAAAGTATTAGCTACTAACTACTAGCTAATCCAACAAAAATGGTTTCTTATTTATATATAGCTTTTTTGGCTAATTATTTACCTAACTAATTATCTAATGTTTCCATTAATGTCACATTTTGGAAAAAAGAATATTATATGGTCACATTTTGAAAAATAAAGAATTTACATGATTATTACAATGAAAGTAATTGAATAAAAGAATAGTTCATAACTTTCAGCTTTTAATCATTTCAATTCATTTTTTTCTTTTTTTTAATTAGATCTGCATCAACAGTGCATCGTTCCAATCCGATCTTAGGGAACCTTTCCTTTATTAATATAGTTATCCATCTGATATCTTACTGACATTCTTTTTATGTCTATCTTCATCATTTAATATTTTATTTACTGATTAATTGGCAATATCATTTACAAATTATTTAGCCATGACTTTTCACCTCAATTGTGTTGATCATGAAAATCTTTACACTCTTCCTTAAAAAAAAAAAATGAAAATCTTTACATTCTAGTAAATATACAATGTTCTCACCTTTTTATCACAAAATATATACATGTATATTCTATTAGTTACATAACTTGCATTATTTTCGCCGTGAAATTCAGATCTTGTTTGTTCATTCCCTAGCCTTTCCTTTTAATTTTCTTATTTCCACAAATTAAAGAGCAAACTTACGAGATAATGATTCTACAGTACTATAGTTAAAACCAATAATCAAATACGTCGATTTCACTAAATTTACCAACAGTACTAAAGGACAACCCAGCAGCATTTGGCTGTTGTTTCCTGCTTTGTCTAGAGTTCTGGTTTAGAAAGTGACGAAAAGACCTAGAATACAAGTTGTTGTTGTTGTTTTTTTTTTTCTTTTTCTTTGGCTGAAGAGAATAAAAGATTATTCATTCTTTTAAAATAGTATATATATTACTAATTAATTATATGATTTGTCTTTAAACTATATAAATTACACTTAAGCTCATTAACGTTAAAATTATAATAAAAAAGGGCGGTCCTGTCACTTTCAAAAGAAAACACCCTTAACATCAAGAGGACACAGTTGTAAACTGTTTTACTCGAAATTACATCCATTAGGGACTAAAAGTTAAAATTCTCGGGAAAACACCGATTCGAGTTTTCTTACAGTAAAAAACTCTCAGAAACAGTCACATTTAACTTTTTTGCTATAGTAAAAAGTTCTCATATAAAGTCACATCTCAATTTGAATTAAAAACTCGAATTAACGAACTAAACGAGCTCTTAGAAATTTATTTATGAAATCTCTGTCTAAAAGAGAAAAGACAAGAAATCATATCGGGAACTTACTATAGAACTTTTTGAAAGTTCAGGAACCATTTTACCATACAAACAAAATTTAAGAACTTTTTGGAAGAAAAATAACATGATCTAAGAACTAAAACTCAATTTCAGGAAGCACGCCCGTGCAGTAATTCTTGAGTGATTATATTGTCAAACGGAAAGGAAATAATAAGAGAAATAGAGAATCAAACATAAATGATACCAAACACATGTTTTAAGAGTATGTTTACGTATTAACACAGAAATTAGAATAGAAAAAGAAAGATACTCCTCTCATTCTCTTTTCAATGATGTTATGTGAAGATACTCCGTTCTTCTATTCTCTTTTCCGTTTTCAATAATGTTATAGTGATCATACTCTCAAATAATGGCAAACAACCACAATGACAGTAGTCTAATGGTGTTGTGTTTACATATACACGAAAGGATCTTAGACTCAATAGATTAATCTTTTAAATTAAGTTAGGTTTATGAAGTGTGTTGGGCTAGTTTTGCATATGAAACAAGTGGTATCAAAATCGATGATTTGTATGAACTAAGCGATCACATTAGGTTAGTGTTTCTGCAGTTGGTGCTGTTGCAGGTGCGGATGGTGGAGCATTTGATGGACTCGCATCTTTTCGGCTTTCTTTCCCATGCTTGAGTTGGCTTCTGTTTGGAGTGTGATGTTTGGATGCGCCGGTTACAAGAAATTTTGATTCAAAGGGGAGCTTAGTGAACACACACATGAGAGAAAGATTATTGAGAAAAGTATATGTGTGTTGTTTTGGAGTCTCCCTAACAATTATGAATCTACCTGCTTAGTTTGCATACCAACTTTTAGTATGACGTGCTTTGATAGTTATAGCTTATTGTAAATATTTCTTAACGTGTGAGGGTCTATTTTGTCACGTCCACAAAAAATAGTTACGACTAATCGCTACTCCCTAAACTTTTGTTAAATAAAATAGAAAAGAAAAGGCTTAAGGACCAAGAAAAAGATAATCCAAAAGAAAATAATCGAGAGGTGGTGGGACACGCCCACTTCTGGAATTTGCATTTCTTTGACAAGGAATGAGGGAATTATACAAGGACAAGCACAAGAACAATCCAGAGAGGTTTTGGTCCATGTTGGTGACCAACAATATTTTGCAAGGGCCAAGGCATACGACAAATTCAGTCGGTGGTGCGAACCCTGGCCAACCAACACCGCATCATGGCTCGGATGGCTGACTCATGACTCATGACACATGGTGCTCAAAGCACAATGTGGCGCTTATATAAGGGCTCATATCTGTACGTTTCAG